AATTCAATGTGAAATGTTCAAATGTCGTCTACATCTATCAGTAATTAAAAAACATGGGAAGCATTTGAAATGTCCGCTAATGTACTGACTGTAGTTGCGCCGGTGCACAGTGGTGCCAAGGGTATCAAAACACGCTCTTTTTTATTTACGCTGAAATGGTTGATTAAAGGTACTAGGTGTCTTCGGAGATATTTCTCGAATTTCAACATTCCTTCTTATGGTAAAAGAAAATTAAAGATTAATCCACTTAAAAGTGAGATGCAAAATTTATTATTTTAATATGATGAGATACAAAATAATTGTGTTCGAGAAAGTTGTAGAGACTATTGCTGTGAAGAACTTTGCTGAAGACTATAACTTTATAGTTCTTATAACTGCTGAGATATAAAGGTTTTTTTTTGTGGAGACATCGTTAAAATCAATTTTGTATCTGTAGCTTTTTCTAAAATATTTCTACATATTTGGCATGTTCTGAAAAGATGTTGGAAACATCAAATTACATATCTTTTTAGAAGGCTGCAAATTGCTATCATTAATATTTGAAAAGTTATTTACATTTTTTTGGTTGAGAATTACTCAACTTCCAATACCAATAACGTCTAAGCGGGCAAAAACAAGCAGGCCATTCTTTGAGCAATAGATAGTGCAAGAAAATGCAATGAAATGGTGAAAAAACCAGACCGCCCCCGCGTGACCTTTAACCGAAATACTTGCATTGAAACTTGCAACTTTTCAGAATTTGAAATGGTGATTTTGTGAAACTACGGACTGTTATCGAGAAGGTGTGAAAAGAGGCATACAAATGGACAACCAAGCAACCTGGGTTATTTCTAGTGACTAACAAAATGACTCGGGATCAAAACCATCGGGATCACAACCATTTCAGCGCGTGTTTTAATACCCTTGGCACCACTGTGCGGTGGTGTAGTGCTAAACGTGACTGCCTTTCACTCCAAAGGGCCTGGGCAGTCTTGTAAGCCGTCACCATAGTCGACGCATGTTCTGCGATAATCAGCTACCTTTGCTTTCGACACTTGCAAAACAAGCTATTATAGTACAGTATCAAACAAAATGTCATATGATAGTCTCTGCCATATGACACTGTCACCGAAGACCGTCAAGAATACAGGTATGTGTTCAATACAATAGCAGCGCATGTCGATTTCTATACAAGTTGTAACTATGTTCTCTTAAGATCAATTGAGCTGAAACGTTCGCGACAGAACGAAAAATATGTTCAATTTTACGATTACCAAATACCAAATTTTTGGAAGCACCTGCCGGAAAGTGAGACACTAGGTAAAATTGTTCAAAATAATAGCAGTACTAATAATTTTCATTTCAGCACAATTTTCATTTTCATTTTCATTTTGCAGCGTTTGGTGGGGCAATGGGAGCGCAAGTCAATCCAAAGCCGAGGATTAAGGACGGGTAATGGCTGAATAGTCTATGCGGACCACTTGAACGCCATGGGAAAAGGAAGGGATTGAAGAGGCCGGTTATTGGGGGGTTTTGAGGAAATGACACATAGGGATGCTAAATGTAAAGAAACCGAAAATCCATCTCCCACTGATTCATCCTTTCACATATATACCAAATTGATATTTTAAAGCAATAATCAAAATAAACAGAAAATACATGGAAAGGCTAGTTGCCAGTTGCTTTAAAGGCTAGTTGCCTCCCTAAGCGGACCCTCCGTATCCTAACTCTTCTGTTAATTCACTTAATGCTACTAGGCTGTCTAAATTTTCTTATTTAAGTTCGTTTGATGATTATGATATCTCTAGTCTAATTTAATAAATAATTGAAATCTCTAATCTTCCTACCATGCTTTATTAAGTACCTGCACTTGTGAATGTAATCTAAAATTTAACGTGTTTCAAGTTGTTTGACTTTGACCTATATTTAATATATATTAGTTCGTCCCAGGTGACACCTTCAAGTGACTAAAATGCTTCACTTTGAAGTTAGTTTCCTAGCTGATTTTTAAATTACATAGGGTATATGCTTCAACTTCGCTCACACGTTTCCACTATGTCGCACCACAAAAATACGTATGGTTATGTCACAATAGAAGCACGTCTCAGTGGAAATCCCGAGCCATAGTTCAAACACTTATCGCAAATCAAAATGAAGCACATATAAGATTAGTTACAATACCATGTACCACAATACCATTGTTCCCTGAGTAATACCTCAATGAAAACAACAACGAAAGCTTGTCACGCAAGTAGAAGGAGCACTGTTGGTCACTTTCTGAAATATTTCAATAGTATAATTCCCTTGCAAACCCAAATAAATCTATCTGCGTAAAAATAAATAAAATAAGAGTGATTTGCGGCAAAACCCGCCAGTATCGCACCCAACGTCAGTCCCTATACGTAAGCGTACTACAACGCGGCTTTCAAATAAAGGAGTAACAAGTGTGATACTATCACTTCAGGCTAGAAATTTGGTTCTCTCATGCAATGGTTCATCAGAGAGGGGAAGCTCAGTAATCCTCATCGCATGCTCATGACGCTATTTTGTCACGGCATGAGCCAACGATGCCGGACCTAAACCAACCGTCTCCAACGCTCCACTATGAAGCATAAGATTAGGCCCGCCCACCAACGTCCAGGTTAAAAAACTAGCCAAGGGGAGGGAATTTTCATTTCAGCACAATTTTGAGATTTTAAATTTTACATTTTTCGAAATACCCAATTAACAAATGTATATAATCGGTAAAAATGTTTAAAATATTTGCAGAACAATTTTACCTAGTGTCTCACTTTCCAACAGGTGCTTCCAAAAATTTGGTATTTTGTAATCGTAAAATTGAACATATTTGAAGTTCTGTGGCGAACGTTTCTGCTCAATTGATCATAAGTTTTTTTTTCTTCCTGTATTTAGGAGATTTTTAGCCGTATGCTAGTTCATCTCCGTAAAGGGTGGGAAGCCTTAGAAAGAGGTCCCCCAGCCACATTGCTTGAGTATCAGGAGGTCCTTGGGGGCCCCGTCCAGTGGGGGGATGTCCGGGCGGCCGAAAGAATCGATGGTGGTAAATCCTGCAGTATAGCTTCGCCGCCTTCAAAAAGCGCAGTACAGCTGCTTGAGTTGAGGGCACGTCTGCTAGCGTGTCCCGTACGCTGGCAGGCAGACCGTGGAGAGGCAACGAAGGTGCTCGAATTGTGGACATACGCATAACACAGGTCTTCCTGAATGGTCCTCCGCTGAAATCTTGTGAAATTAGGGAGTGTCCTGTCCGGAGTCTGGAAAAAATCCTCTGATCTCGCAGGTTTACAAGGTCCGCCCACTTTCCGATGTCACGTTTAATTTGTCTAATAAACGGAAGTCTGGCACTGGACCATTCCGTTGCCCACGCTGTCCGCACTGTGCAAGTGATCTATCTCTTCACGTCCTGCAACGGTACCTTGTGCGAGTACGGAGGACCCGATGGGCCTGACCCGGCTAGGTTGTCCGCCTCGATGTTCCCTGGGATCCCGCAGTGTCCGGGAATCTATGCGTATGTAGTGTTTGGTGGCGCAACCTTGATCATAAGTTAACAAAGTTATATCATGTCAAAGTTGACAATTTTGTATGGAAATCGGCATGCGCATTGAACACAACTGTACCTTGATATAACGTAACTGTCACTTTTGAATTCCATCGTCGATTTATCGTAAAAGATCATTCAAACAAGCAAAGTAATAACTCCATCGGACAGATGAGATAATCCCCCATCTATTGGTAATATTAATTTGTATCATTCAATTGTTATTAGGGAGATATTGATGATGGAAGTCAATAGTGACCGTTACGTTATATCGAGGTATACCTGTATATGTATTTTAGCTTTACTCGCAATAAGAGCTGTTGTGCTTGTGTGCATTCTGAAAATAGCAAGTAACGATGTCCTAGCAATAACATTTTTGATAAGAGGAATTAGAACGAAATCACGTTATTTGATAATTCTAGATAGAGCTGGAATTAGGGCGTAACAGCTTTTGTAAACAATGACTTCTCTCGATGATTTCTCGGAAGCCATGGCTCTCCCTGGCAAATCAACATCACCATCGAGTAGAGGAAGACTTCTCCTACCCGATGGATATATTGGTTTGTGTAGGCGTGCCTTGAATTCCGAGAAATCAACGAGAGAAGTCATTGTTTACAAAGGCTGTTACGCCCTAATTCCAGCTCTATCTAGAATTTTCTTTTTGCTCGAATATTGTTCTACCGTCAACCGTTTCAACCCCTGGGCCTGAGTTCAATCCCAATCGGCGCAGTCGGGATTTTCTAAGGCAAACATCTCTCATCACGCCTTCCTTCGCCGTTTGTCCCCGGTTCATGAGTTGATGGGTCGATAGGTAGAGTCCAGGTGTGGGAGCTGTCTCCCTGGCGTCGGTAACATTGGTACTCAGTACGGAAAGCAAGATCGAAGGAAAACAAATCCAAGGAAAACTAAAAATGTAATGACTGTTAAAAAACGTTTTTGCGAATCCAATTGGCATCGGTTGTCATTTAGTTGTATTTTGTATGGATTGTTGTCATTATTACCACTGTACTATCAACCGGTGGAAGCCAACGATTTTAAAATGGCTCACTACTTGACTAGCCTATTGGTCCCAAGTATATCTGTAAGCGTACCCCATTCTAATCAAAATTCTAGTACTACACTTTGTTTGTTATTCGCTATGAAAGTTTGACAGATAAAATGAGGGATTCGTGGATTTTCCTATGTTTCGAGGGGTACATCGATTAGCTTGGGACCGAAGATAGTACCAGAGCTGAGTCAAAAAGTTAGCACGTTTCTTCGGGACCTTCTGGTCTTAGAGTTACCTCTATGGTACTATAGCCTGTTTGACGAAGAAAAAAAGCAAAACAAAATAGAACAGCTCTTTAAAAAATACAGATGAATCACAATAGGGGGGGAAATATAAAACTGTGATAACGAACAATATGGGGTTCTTTTGCAGGATGTGATATATATCAACGTACGATCCCAGTAGAACACAACTCAATTATTGTTTGTTTGAACAAGTTGAGCACAAAACTGACTGTAGTTTGTTTTGTTTATTTTCAATGCTATAATCTTGGCGCTACTGGTTTTATTATCTGCATTAATCGGTTCGGGTTCTGCGGGTTTATTTCATTTGTTCATTCTCCTAGGTATATATGGCTAATCGGTTGGTTGTAAATAGGGTTATTGATTTTTGTTGACCAGTTACTTTTCTTGAACTTATGAATTCCTGTTTTTAAATGCGTGTATTATGCGGATTTCTAGGTTCGACCAACTTAAACACGTACTGACTATTTTGATTTACAAAACAAAATTTACGAAGCTAATTTAGAAAGCTAACCGTTTAAGTAGTAATCGAGAAAAAAAAGTATACTGCCGTGTAAATGCAAATCCTGGCTTGGCGATACTGCAGCTAGGTTTTCACGCAAAACTATTGATTGTAAACATTGTAAGTCAAAATAATTCGCAATATACTCACCTACAAAGCGCAAAGATTGCAACAAATCCTATCTGGTTTGAGAAATATGAAAAATCATTACTAATTGTTCTTTTATTTTACCTTCGACGTTTCCTATCTTGCTAGGTAATGGTGTAAAAAGGTCATTTTTATTGGTTCTTATGCTTACACATTTATGCACTTGTTTGTCGCAGCTAGGATTTTATTGTTTGCTCTCGATTTAATTCTTAATCTTATTATAAAAAGGTAGCACTTTTGGATATACTTTCTTTGTTTTCTTCCATTCGCATAGGTTAGCAGGATAGTATTTTTACGGTTTTATTGCTTTTTGAAGCACATACTTTTTCTCGTTTGGCAGCACAATCATACACTGCTAGTGAAATGATACTACAGCGCACAGAAATGGAAACGAGCAACGACGCAAAGGGAAAATGCAGTATTTCTGTCTCTATGTTATCAACTGCGATAAAGTTGAATACATTAGAAATTGGAAAATGTTTCTTAATCACGAAATCCACCGAGAATTGTTTTATAACGCTCAGTAGAAGGAAAACGATAATACCATATAGTTATAATACCGTGGCTGCTAAAGCATCACATTTAACCCCGTTGACTTGTTCTCGTTCTTGTTTGTTCTTCCAGATTACCGACGCTCACAAGCAAATTAGTACAACACGAACTTTGGAAACGGCAACATTTTCTTCTCGCTTAATTACTTGTTTTTGTTCATTCAACACCTTGAACGTTCTGCACCTTTTCACTGCTGTTTTCACCTTGCTTTGCCTATTATAGGATAATAAACTTTAAAAATGAAATAATATGTATCTGGCTACATTTTAAAGCGATAAAACTCCTTCACGAAGACCTTATTCTTATGTTTTCTTCTCATGTAATCTCCCATTTTGTTTCATGTTCGTCCGGCAGGGCACACCTATCCGGAGGAGTGCACGCGCGAATCTTCTACTGAACCCGATCGAAAGCTGACATACTGTCAGCTCCTCTAACCCTTATTTTTCTTCTGTATATGCATAGTATGTATGTATATATATAAACGTGATTATTTGATGCAGAGCGATTGTTGTTCTTGTTTGTTTAAGCATCTTAAGATTTTAATAAATTCTTTACTGCCAGTCTTTTTTAATCTCGAAACTCCATTCCCACTTGAGGTGCTCGTTCTTGTCGTCGTCGGTGAAGAGAGACGACACCGAGTAGGTACCGCGGGCCATCATTCCCGAGGGGGCCTCCTCGAACGGGGTGGTGTAGCTTTGGATTTCCTTCTTCGGCGGGTACGAGCCGACCATCTGAGTCAATTTGTCCACTGTGATGATTTCGGTGGTGTTCGGATACAGAGTGAATGCATTATAAATGACAACGAATGTTATAAACATGTTATTAAGATTGATAAACCATTATATGTTGAATGTGCAAGATTTTGCCAAGTGTATCCCTTAGAGCAGTGAAAACCGGTAAATGTATTGCTTTTAATTGTTCAATACATTACTAAAGTAAACGTGCAAAGCATGCAAATTTTGTGTTAAGGTTAAAACTTATTCTAGTATGATAGGTTAGCAACTATCAGTTACCTAACAAACAAAAAACTCATCATCAAGCTAAAAGAAAGCCAACATCAGATTTCATTCGTAAAATGTGTTACTGAAATTCCTCAAAAAGTGCCGAAAACTAAACAAAGCATTTAATAGAACAGTACTTTAAGTTGATAATTTCCATTCATGATAAATAAAACTTACAAAAAATCGATCCCAGTTTGGATGTCGTTATTAAAAAAAAATGCAAAATGAGGGCCTACAAAGGAACATGTAAGTGATAAAATAGACAAAATAGGGTAAGAAATATTGCGAAGTTTTTCTTTATTTAGACCCAAGTGATTTTAATTTCGTCGTTGTCAAATTTCACTTTCGATTTCGCTCTCATCAATCCCACCTTGAAATATATAGGGGAAATGGCTCTAATGTTGGCCTATGGATCTAAGATTGGGCCCATCGCTAAAAATCTGCTATTTATCAATTTTATCTAGATGAAAGCGTCATCGCTATTGAAAATGTAGTCGATTGATGAATTTATGTATGGGCTCAAATTGGGGCCATTTAGGCCGACATTACATCCATTTCTCCTATGTATAACGCTTGGTTTCCATGACATTTCTTCTGGTGTTTACTTTTGACTCCTTTGTTCCAAACCATAACAAATCCAGCTGGTGAACCTGATGTTTGCGCGCGAAAACGACAAGGAAAAGCTGAAATGGTAAGAGTTTCAAAAACCACAGAAGATTTTGGCAGCTTCCACATTTCGTCGAGAAAGTCTAAATATTCATAGAAACCACAATAAAGCTTGAGTCATTTAATATCTGGACGCAATGTTTATTTTACTGCAGTACTCCTAGCGGTCGGATCTGGAATGTTTTGACAGCAGTTTGTTTTGAAATGTTTCATTTTCAGCACTGAAAAGTTTATCACGATTCATTCTGTTTAAAAGAAGTTATACTTGATGGAAGCCTTATAGCCTAATCAGTAAAAGCACGGTATTACCAAGCCGGAGGCGGCGGGTTCGATTCCCGGTCTGGTCGAGGGAATCTTTCGGGGTGGAAATTTCTCGACTTCCATGGGCGTGGGTGGAGTATCATTGTACAACCTATAATCGCATATCAGTCCCATCTTTACTTGATTTCGTATGCATATGGGACTGATATGCTATTATGGGCAGCGTACTTGCCACACAATATACAAATTCATGCATTGGTATTGGCATCGAAAGCTTCAATGAACAGGCTTGCCAAAAGCTCCATCAAGACTCAAGAGTCATCAATAAGCTCAACTCCAGCATATTTTGATGATGATATCTTTTGCTCTGCCAACCCGCATCGCTGAGAGGGATGGGGAGCTCGTTCTCGGGTGTACATCGACCGCCTACCGAGCAGAAATTTTAACTTCGTGATGCGCTCGCGCAAAGCAGTAAACTTGGAGCTTCGTGATGTATTCGTAAATAGCTTGGCTCTTGATGGCTTCTCCAAGTGCGCATGAATGAGTGATTTTGTATTGTATTCGAGAAAGAAGTGCACAACCAAGAAATTAAAAGAAAACATTATGGAACGTATGCATATATTCCGAAACTCAAAAGTAGCAATTTTATTCTTAGGGTAACTGTCTATATTCTCGGTAAACGCCCCTATTTCAGGCAAAGCAGGATAGCTTTCGTGTTTGTAAACTGAAACCCGATTTCGGCATTTCAACTGTCTCGTCATCGTAGGGTAAACGCTCCTATTGTTGCCGTACGTTAGAAGCGTTAGGTTCCTATAGTTGTGTATTGAGTCTCTATGCACAACTATAGGAACCTAACGCTTCTAACATACCGCAACTATAAGCGCGTTTCCCCTGTAGCGGATCATCTCTTGTGTTGCAAACTAAAATCGCAGTTGAGAATCAAGAGATATTGGGCTATGCCGGGAATACATACATAGAGTCGGAGATAGAAACTTCTACGCTATCTATTGATGAATCTACGCGAAACTGCACCAGTGCACACCTAGGTTTGAAATCCAAAACCACAAAAGTGATAATGTACTAAAAATATTCCATACGATTTGACATACGATTTTCATTTCCATCTGCTGGTCGACCGTAACGTAGATTCATCAATCATGTATAAGTTGCACATTGCAAATTTAATGCTATGCAGAATTTTTAGGTAGAGTAAGTACATTTTTAACACAGCGGATTATTTAAATGTTAATTATACTACCTGTAATTATCACGCGTTCATTAAATAACGTTTCAACTAACATTGATTTAAATTTCTTTTCAAATTGAAGTTGTGTTTTGTTTAAATTTTTTCTCACAAGATTTATACTTTAATTCACCATCTGCTTAATCTCCTAACTTGCGGAAGAACAGAGCCGTATCAAAATTTGATTTGCGTTTCTGCGACATCTGGCAACCAACTGAAAGTTATGAATTAATCGATTCAGACTCAACCTGATTTAAACAATTGAAATAGGTGGAACAACCAAACGTAAACAATGGCTTCAAACACAAATTCATCGAAAATCAAAGCACATCCAAACAATCTTACGCCATCATCTGATAGAGCAAACTTGCTTTATCGAATGGAAATTTTAGTTTACATGGTAGTGTTTTGATTCTCGAGAATTTTGTGTTTAAAGCCATTGCTTACGTTGGGTTGCTCCGCCTATTTCAATGGTTGGTCCAGAAAGATTTCCGAGCTACCGAGTGTGCAGCGAGGGTAGCAAATTGAATGAATGAACATGTTAAAAGGCAACAGGAGAATACGAAAACATCACCAACGGATAATCTATAAACGGAGTAATTAGTGTTTTTACTAGTTTTTCTCATAAAGCACTTAGCGGAAAAAAACGATCAGAGTTTTGTGACTGAGTTTGAGTAACCCAAAAATTGGTCCCCAAATTAAAAAACATCAGTCTCTCAAAATGTTACGTTCTCTGGGAATGGTCCTATAGTCCATGGAATGTATTGTTGGGTATCATTATATTGAATGGAAGATCCGTGCATTAATCAAAAGCAAACCCCACACGCATCAATATATTGACGCGAAGGGGAATTATTGACAATAATATTGATGATGTGAATTCAGAAATATTGTCAATCTCGATGTATTGACGTCAATATAGAACATATTGACAATACAATTATTGTCAATAAAAGCAATCGTGTAGGGTCCACTAAAAGCCGTGCGTGCTCTCTCCGAGTGCATAACGAAGCTCACCGTTTAACCGAGTCCACCCCAAAGTTCAAAATGTTGTTTGGTGAGCAGAGCCGATGTAAATCATGCCTCATCCAAGAACGAACCCCGCATCACTCATCGTGATGCGTGTTTGTGAAAGTCCAGCTTGAGCATCAATCTGAGCTCGAGCTCTTTTGCGCTCTTTGGATTTGACATCATTGCTCTTCATAGAGCTTTTTGACGTTTGATCGGTGCACACTACTGCACCATTTAAATCGAACGAGTGCGAGTAAGAGGGAAACAGATTAGTGGGAAAACAAACCATCCATTCATTCATGTGTGCTAGATAGAGAAAGACGATTAAACGTCAAAAAGGTCTATATGTGAGGGATGAACTACCTCACGATGAATGAGCATCTATACGGCATAATCTAAATTGGAGGAATTTAGGCAAGCCTGCCAATTAATAACTGTGGAAGTGCATTTGGAACTCTAAGTTGAGAGCACGCAATAAGCTAATATGCGCTAAGCAATAAACTTGAAATGCGAATAAGAAGAAGAGACTTGATGGAAACCCGCAAACCGAAAATTAATTTTCGACACCCACTTGGAAAATCCGACGTGGTCAAGTTCAAAAATCGCCAAGTCGTTGAAATTGGCTTAATCAACCGTGTGCGTGCAGTGTTCTCAAACGTATCCGTGAGTGGCATACTATCAATCGGCAGGATCATAGCAAGCGTCGTAGTGGAGCTTAGGATCGGAACCTGCATTAGAAGGTATTGAGAACGATTAGCGCAAACCCAGGGCTGTCGGATTATGATATCGCCAAGAAATTCAGAAGGATTCGTCAGCGAGAAGGATTTCGATCTGTTCGGGCCAGTAAGCAACCAAACAGGACACTGAAGCAGAATCTAGTGGCCAAAAGACATGCCCGGAAGTTGTACACTGAGGTTCTTACAAAGTACGACGGATGCAAGGACGACTAAACGAACGTGAAGATGGATTATGGGCAGCTTCCCGGACAAAAGTTCTACAAAGCCACTAGTCGAGGTGATGTCCCTAGTAAAGGGTGATACGGTCAAAATTTGGTCAATATCAACTTGACGTATTTCTTTCAATTTTGCATTTAAAAAACCTGAACACCCCTCATTTTGAAGGTGTGTGTGTGTAGAATGTTGCTCCTATTTTGATTTTGGAATTCACTCTTCAGTTGTCAAAATGCCGTCCAAGCAAAAAGAGCAGCGTATCAAAATTTTGCTCGCGCATCGCGAAAATCCGAGCTACTCGCACGCAAAGTTGGCAAAATCGCTGAAAGTTGCCAAATCAACCGTTACAAATGTAATTAAAGTGTTTGGGGAACGTTTGTCGGCAGCCAGGAAGTCTGGATCGGGGGGAAATCGAAAACCGGAAGCCGCTGAGACGACAAAGAGAGTTGCCGGTAGTTTCAAGCGAAACCCTAACCTCTCTCTCCGAGATGCCGCAAATAAGCTGGGTGTATCGTCTACAACCGTGCATCGAGCCAAAAAACGAGCCGGACTATCGACTTACAAGAAGGTAGTGACTCCAAATCGCGATGATAAACAAAATACGACGGCCAAAGCGCGATCCCGGAGGCTGTACACGACGATGCTGACGAAGTTTGACTGCGTGGTAATGGACGACGAAACCTACGTCAAAGCCGACTACAAGCAGCTTCCGGGACAGGAGTTTTATACGGCAAAAGGAAGGGGAAAGGTAGCAGATGTTTTCAAGCACATGAAACTGTCAAAGTTCGCAAAGAAATATCTGGTTTGGCAAGCCATCTGTACCTGTGGCTTGAAAAGCAGCATTTTCATAGCTTCCGGGACTGTCAACCAAAAAATTTACGTGAAAGAGTGTTTGAATAAACGTCTGCTGCCTTTCCTGAAGAAACACGGTTGTTCCGTACTGTTTTGGCTGGATTTGGCATCTTGCCATTACGGTAAAAAGGCCATGGAGTGGTACGCCGCCAACAACGTGCAGGTGGTTCCCAAGGACAAGAACCCTCCCAACACGCCAGAGCTCCGCCCAATTGAGAAATACTGGGCTATTGTCAAGCGGAACCTAAAGAAGACCAAAAAAACTGCTAAGGGCGAGCAGCAGTTCAAGGCAAACTGGCTTTCTGCGGCGAAGAAGGTGGACAAGGTGGCTGTACAAAATCTGATGGCAGGGGTCAAGCGTAAGGCCCGGCAATTCGGATTTGGAAAAGCGGAAGCCTAACTGAATATTTTTCCTGAATTTTATACTAATTGAACTTGAAAAAGAAATTTAATTTGATTTTTTAAATAAACGATTTCACCGATTTACACGCGTTTTCCCTTGACCAAATTTTGACCGCCCTTTAAGTTCAAATTCATTTTTGCTGATAAATTTGCAAGAAAGCTTATGATCTCGCAAGGTATTTGCAGCTGCGGACAAAAAACCCAGGTTTTCGTGACAAACAAGAATATGGATTCCAAAATGTACAAGCATGAGTGCATAAAAAAAACGTATTCTTCCGTACATTAAGGCTCACAATGGACCTGTAAAGTTTTGGCCTGATTTGGCAAGCTGCTACTACAAAGGAGAAGTTCTACAGTGGTATCGATACAACGGGGTAGATTTCTTCGAAAAGGACATCAATCCACCCAACTGCCCTCAATTTCGCCCAATTGAGAAATATTGGGCAATTGTCAAACAGAAGTTAAAGAAGAATGGAAAGGTGACTTAGGATGCGACAGAGATGAAGAGATGGTGTTGAACAAAACGACCGCTCAGGTTAGCCAACAGAGTGTCCAAAATATGATGAGTGGTATTCGAAGAAAAGTTAGAGATTTCACCAAAACCAAATCGGAATAATTTGTTCGCTATTTTTCCTTTAAAGTGCAATAAATGACCTTCACTTTGAGTACTCAACATTTTTATTTCATCAGGCTTTACAAAAAAAATGATACTCCCTTTTCAAATGTTACGCGAGGGTTCACCGAATTTCATATATCTTAAAAGTGCTTAAGAGAGGATCTGCGAACTTAGGACTTTGAAGAGATTAAGAGATGTACAACGAGCTCCGAACGAATACATACATCTTAATTGGGTTCTTTAAGGGTATTGAGATAAATGGAACCCAAACCCCAACTTTCATCAATGTTGGTACACTGGAACTATTTTAAATAAGGTCGATTACATTTGCAAAAATCCCCTTATTAGCGCCTCTCGGTGTCACTTTGTATGGGAGCGAGCTCACAGTTTGTTAGTTTAGTGTCAAACAGTGAAGTTATTATTTTACTTTAAATCTTGATTTAAAAATCAAGATGAAAGTATGAGGGTTCGAAAAAAATATCGCTGTGCTCAGAAAACGAAACTCTTCCAGATGATGTATAAAAACCGATACATTTTTCAAAATTAAAAAAAAAAACAATTAGTGTTCAGGGAACTGATAAGATCGTGGACGTTCTGAGATATTTTAGAACTTTAAGGGTTTTAAAGGTCTCGAATACTCAAATACTTTCTGCGGCATCATAGAATCGTTCTGAAAATGGACTTACGGGAAATTCCATCAAACAATTAAAAAAAATGAGAGCTAAAAAGGACAACGAATTCACTAATGACCTATTATGGCTGATTTTACATGGCAAATCAACCATTACAACGACCATTTGGGGATTCTATCAAACTTGTCCTTAATTATTTCTTCAGTACTATGCGTCGGCAAACTAAGCATCATCTGTTGGTTATCTGTGTAATTGCAGCTGATCTGACAATAACGGAGTAGTAACCGCAGGCGGTCAATCATGCTCATGCTCATGGTCAATAGTATGCGTGGGCGAACGACAAATTGACGATGGAAGTCACTGTTTACAAAAGCACTTATGTATATTTGAAAGTGTGTCCTTGAAATGTTTGGAATAGAGTCTTAAAATAATTAAAATTAAAACTTAGATGAATTCCAACTAAATGGATCTAATCATCGCCAAATTCGCACCAGACCTAATATGAGATGGAAAGCCGTGCCAAATCCGTAGTCGTAACAACCTTGCTATAGGCAATATATTTGAAGCACTGGAAGTTGGTAGTCGTAAGTAAGATAGGAATTATTCGTCTTCAAGCCATTGACATCCATCTGGAAAATCTTCTGTTGTACGATTATCCAACCTAGGGAATGGGCCTCAACTAGGAACGTGGTGTATTAATGTTTGAATCTTTGTTTACAAAACCAGATACGTATATTTGAAAATTCATCATTGATTCCGACAGCACGGAGATGGAGCTAAATCTGGTACTTGGTACACATCCAAAGGCCGGTAACATAATTCGGAACTGGTTACTGATTTCTTGCGAATTACTTTAGCAACTGAAGTAGACAAAAAGTATAAGAATATTAAATACCGATTGAGCGGATTTTTAAAAAGACGCATTGGCGATGAAGTCATAAGAGAATTTAAAGCTACTTACATATTTAATAATAAAAAGTCATATCAATATCAGTTCAATGTTAATTTAAAGCTTCCAACGCTCAGATGTGTGTAGCAAGTATACCAAGCATCAAAATATCACGAAAATGACTGCATTTTTATTTTGGATACGCCTCTACGCTTGGTATAATTCCCATTTCAAAATGAGATAATACGAATGCCTGTTATCTATACCGACTCACCGAGATAACGAAAATCACGTCATTTTAAACGACTTAAAAAAAATATTGAATCCCTCAACATACAAGTGATATAATATTTACTACTCATAAACGCGTAACAGTCCCATTTGAATAGGAAATCAAGCACTGTTATGCTTTTATCGGCAGATTACCCCGTTGTTGTTTGGAAGTGCTTTGCCTACGGCGATTGATTAACTATGAAATAAGGCGTAACCTAAACAAAATAAGACTATGTTAGGCTTTAAAGTGCATAAGAAAGAAGCCGCAAGCACATACTACACTCAGATAGAAGTAAAGAACGCAAAACTCAAACAAATTCCCTCCAGCTGAGTACCGCTTACCATGAATTGCTTCAGGATTGCATTTAAATTATAATATTATTAGCAAAGCAGAAATAGGTTGTCCCCGTGGTCATGGATTAGTTCGTTGGAAACACGGTAGGTAGTTTGGTAGCAGGCAGAGAAAACAATAATGACATTAAAAAAATCGGAATATTTTTCAATTAAACATCGAAAAACTGACACCAAGCATTCGTTGTTTTAGGAAATGTAAGGCCAATGAAGGGCATAACTTACCGGGCACTCCCATCCTGTAGGTTTTCTGGACGTATTTCAGCCCATGAACAATTTCCCTCTGCACAACGAAATCGATGCGAATCTTATACTGGATGCCTTCCTTAATCACGAAGACCTACCGTTCAAAGGAACAAGATTTAGATTCAGATTTGTTGGTAATTTGAGCGATTCTTACATTCTTTTTCAGCTTGGAAATATCGCCGGACAGGTCCAGTTCCATGGGATCGCGATCAGCCACCAGAAGAGAGAGTTTTTTCACAATAACCTTCCGTGGGTCCGAGTCGTCTGTGGTAAGATAAAATCGTTAATTGATACGTCACGCAGCATCCCGTCTTAACAGTAAATGACTTACCGAAAATAATCTTCTCGGATTGAGCTTCCCCTAGCAGGGCTTCTTTGTACTTTCGTAAGCTTTCGTCCTCTGCGTCGGCTGCCATGATTTCCTCGATGGTCTTCTGCGGGGGAGGCTGGTAGTTGGCATCGTGCTCCTCACCCTCGACATGATCGACAGCTTCTTTCTCAGACATGCTACGGAGCAAAGATAAAAATTGAATTTTGCTTTAGATTAGCTGCAGCACCCGATAGGCTCTAGAAGCAGAAAAAGAAGGTACCTAAGCGTAAGCGCGTGTGGAGCATTAGAAACCCTCAGAATATCGTTGATTTATGCTTAAGCCGCATTTTTCAAGTCTATTCTATCATGTTATCATAAATAACCATTAAAATTAAACATTGAATAACAAATAAAGTGATTTGGAAAATCAGGCGTAACATTTGATAATGGCACTGTAAACAAACTTTTTAAGGCCCTTTACACGCTAACCAAAGTACGCTCACGCAAACCAACATCATCGGATAGGGGAAACTCACTCCTTTGCGAAAGTGGTATTGGTTTGCGTGGGGGTACTTTGGTTAGCGTGTAAATGGCCTTAGAAAGTTTGTTTACAAATGCATTTGTGCCGATTTCAAATGTTACGCCTGAAATAATTGTTACGCAAGATGGTCATAGAACATACACACTTAAACAGCGACCCTGAGTTCGGTAAAAAAAAATACCATCTTAGATCGGTAATGTTAAAAATTACAGATGTTTCGGTATTTTCGAGGGGGGCGACTCTATCTAAGATGCAGGAAATTTTCTGCTTTGCTGTTGTGAGATTCACTCGCGCTTAATAGATAGAAACACGATTGATTATGATTTTGAAGATTTCCTGCAAAAGGGTGGAGAGCGCTGCGAGTAGATGGGTTTAGATGCAAGAGATGAAAAAAGATTTTCCGTAAATTGATTCGCTAGTGTGAGATTTTTCGACGATTTAAAATCGAGATTTAGATGTGTCGCACCCCTCGGGTATTTTCTCGTTTTATTGCTGAAAACTGTAAATGAAATGACCGAATTTCGGTAATTTAATTTCAATTTACCGAAAACGGTAAACATTTTACCGGCAGGTCTGTAAATCAGCTTCATCACTGACTTCGGTGAAATATTTTACTGAAGTTTCGGTAAACAAAGCGTTCCATTACTGAGTTCGGTAATGGTCTAGGTAAACGTCAAATCCACCATATTGTTATTTTCGATCAACTTTAAACACGGAGAACAAATTCGTTAAGTTAAGTTAACAATCCTAATAGTTACTTTCACATGGAAAAATATTGTTGTTTGAAAGAAACCTATAGTTATTCCAACATTGTCAACTCAATCATATCTACCTAGTAGATTCAACTGTTCATCTTATACTCAATTCAACTATAACTTTGATCAATTATAACAACCGTCAAATGTAATTTATTTATATAATTTGGTTTCAAATGATCATCATAAATCCACATACTTTTAACTTGTGATGCGTAGAGCAGGCGATAAGATAGCTGGTTCTCACGCAGATGAACACGGTTCAAATCTAAGTTGAATGTTCTTGTTCACTTTTTTATGATTTTGCAGTTGTTTTTTTGAGATCGATAAAGAAGCAAAACAAACTTCCTTAATATGTCGATAATGAAGAGCAGTTCGTTTAATAAACATTGTAAAATTTTGCTTTTCTAACAATAGTTTTCTTGAATCAACTAAAGCATAGTTGTATTTTGAAGATTGACGTTTGTTCATCTACTGAAAAATATAGTTGAGCCAACCGAGGAGCCAACTATGGACTATAGTTGTTGCCCTCTATACATATATAGTCAAATCAACTATAGTTTCGGGTTATCTCTAAAACAATTGAACAATATAGTTATTTCGACCGGAAAAATAATTGCGTCTGCTATAATTTGTTCTCCGTGAAAGCGTTCGTGCTTGTGAAAAATAAAATGGTGAAATTATGGAGGCTGTTATACAACACCAAAATGAGTGAATCGTAGATTAATTTTCGTTATCTAAATAAATACCGATTACAGATGGCCGATGTTGTTGCTTGTTTTTTTTTTCTGTCGGTCCAAGTTCCATTCCCGTTGGCGACGGTCTGAAAACAGCATTTGGAATATTCTTCCAAAGCTTCCTTGTTTTCAGTGTAGCGCCGAATCCTTCCGTCAAAAACGGTTTTGTTCATTGGTGGTGCAATTTGCAACACTAACTTATTGATCACGACAGCAGCCAAATGTTTACATGGGTTGCAGTGACCGCCACCTTGAAACAATATTAAAGCAAATTACAGTTGAGTCGGTTACCTTTTTAAAAAATTACAGATCTCTCGGTAATTTTCGATTTGCATATCGTCCTCAAAATTACAGTTCTCCGGTAAAGTCGACTACAAATCAAGCAATGCACATCGGTAAACGTTACCGATCGTTCGGTAAATTTGGCAGCTAATTTTGCTGATCCAGTTTACAGATTTTTCGGTAATGTTCTCGATTACCGAAAACATTACCGACCGTTCAGCTGTTGAGAATTCGGTAAATGAATTACCGAAGTCGGTGATTTTTTCTAAGTGTGTAGTCCTGATGGATAATGTGTTTCGTTAAACTAAAACATATTTTTTCAGTAAATAATGGAGTAGAATGAAAGTTAGATGAGTTCTCATTTACATTTTGAATGATTTTCTTCAATTTTAACCATCTTAATGCTACAAAAAAATGGGCAGATAGTATCAATCATGATCACATCAACCAGGAAATGCATACAGGGCAGTTGGCCAACCTTTTCCACATTCAGAGGAACTGAAACAGAGACCACACACAACGCAAAGTGGATCTTCCAAATTCTCTGTTTCAGCTTGTCACTTCATTTTCTTCGGTCTGGGTGCTCTGGAAGGCATTTTGCGAGCTCGTTTCACTTGTGTAGCTTTCAGAGCGTGGCAATTGTTGCTTCGGTCAACTCCGTAAACATGTATAGTTGTACACACCAACTGCTCATTTTTGTGTTAATAACTTTTCACTCCGTTGTTGAAATTTATTTTTCTTCCATAGTTCTTAACATTTACATCAACACCAATGAATTTTTACACTTAAAATCCGAGATGTGCAGCGAGCATTTCTCACTATATTTTTGCAACGCTAAAAAAAATACAGTTTATTACTAGAATTAAAATCTACTTTTTTACGTATCGATAATAAGCTTAAACTCTATTCTATCGACTATTAAAAAAAAACTATGTTTCGTCAACTGTGTGCAAAGTTATTAGCAAATGAGCAGTTCATGACCAAAACTGTGTATGCCAAGCATTGCCGTAGCCTTTTCCTTCCGGCACTTGCTTCTCTGAGTAAACCGGCTCCTCCAGTGACGAATCATCAGTCGGAACACAACTTGTCTCCATACTCGAATCATCAGCCCAGTGTCTTGAAACTGGTGTTGCCCAATCGGATACAAGCCTGGGTTCAATCCCAGTCGGCGCCGCCGGGATGTGCTGAGGCATACCATCTCTGATCACACCTTCCTTCGGAAGGGAAGTAAAACCGTTGGTCCCCGGTTCATGAGTTGATGGGTCGATAGGTAGGATGCAGGTGTGGGAGCTGCCTCCCTGGCGTCGGTAGCATTGGTGCTCAGCACAGAAAACAAGATTGACGAAAAAAAAACATGCTCATCGCCATCTTCACCATCGAAAGACTGTGCGGTGAGTGGCGTCGCGTAACCACACTTTTTACCTGTGCACCAACTTTCAAAAACAGATTTAATGCCATATTCATACTCGAATCGGTTGTTTAACACACTTAATCTTCTAGTTAACTCGATATCTATCCATTGCAAGCAATATTTTGATAATTGTTTATGTTTTGAGAGTTGGTGCACAGGTAGATTGAGGTTAAGGCGACGCCACTGGCGGTGACGTGGGCAATCCCGTCTGGTTGAAGCAGATATTCGCATTTACGTAGCACTTCTGCGGATTGGTTTCGGCCGATTTTGGCTAAATTGAACTGTGACGAATTGATTTCCTGCGTCATCCATTCCGTCTCCATTAATTCCTGCTTGGTTATCCAAGTTTTGAGATTCTTGTCCATCAGCTAAAGCATCACTTACTCCAATTCTTCGCTGATTTCGTGCGGAATGATTTGTTCGGATTGCAGGATTTTTTCAATGTCCACGTGGGTTCTCGAAGAACATCAACACGTACAGTGTCACGCCGAGAGCCCACATTTCCAGGTCTGGGCCAGAGTAGTAGTTGCCTGACAACTACCAGGTCGTGCCGTAGAAGGCAGACAAAATGTGCCCTTCCTGTACGAACGTCGCCGATCCGAAGTCAATCAGCTTGATATATTGATAATTGTGATCGATGATAACGTGCTCGTCTTTGATGTCCCGTTGTAGAATGCTCAGGAAAGCAACCACTTTAGCAATCTGTCGAAAGATCCGTCATCACGGGTCTTCGGTCGATAAATTTAAGGATTCCTTGTAGAGTCCACAAATGGCCACCACGTAGGCTATACATGCACTTCCACTTCGAATTTTCAATTACACACATCTCGAAAAATAATGCCCCATTTCACCTGAAATTGCTACTTCATGTATGCTGCAGTACAGCAAATGTGGAGTAACAGTTTCATTGTGGTACGTATCGAAGAAGCTGATATTTGTGCAGTCAAAGTTTCGAAGTGGTTACGAGAATAAGGATCTCACAGCGAAACACCTTAAACGGATCCATCCCGGAGCCGTGGATTTCCATCGCAACCTGGAAGAACTTGTCGTTCTCAAACCAAACATGTTGACAATGTTCGGATGCTTAACGTGCGTCAACAGGTAAACTTCTATCGGAATTTTCCGCTTCTCCTCGGTCTTAATCATAAATTGCGGCACGAACTTCTCCTTCAGTATGAATATCACCAGCAACCTAACCGAGTTCCGGTAGCTCAGGTTCACATAGCCGTACGCGCCTTTCCCGATGTGCCTCACCAGCTTGTAATATTTGCTGTACTTTCCGTGGATCAAATCTTCATCGCACTGCGACATACGAGAGACGGAGCGGGGCCGATCCGAGTGCTGCGCAGCAGCAGTATTGTTGATGGCCTGCCTAAGCGAATTGTCCACCGTACTAGTCACGCGGTTGAACGTCAACGTCAGATTCTGATGCCTATCCTCATCATCCAGGTTGTTGTACGATGAATCCGGA